TTAACTTGAATTATTGAGGCAAGTACTTCAATATAAATCCTTTTATAAGCATAGCATTTCTATTAATAAGAACACAAGGGGCAAAATGGCAGACAAAAAGACTCCAAATCAGGATGCAACTGTGACTTAACCAGATTATTTTTAACATTTTGTAACAGTTCAAAGCTGGAGCATTTCATTTCCACTTACCTTTCACAGAGGCGGTCCTCGTACAGTTGTATAGAATGGCCAGTTCCCCAAACGTGGTCCACATGGGGATGGACGACAGCAATTTCTCCCCTTGGAACACCTCTAGCCGACCCTCTGTCGCGCGGAATTTAAAAAAAATGCAAATAATCAAAATCTGCCTAGATTCCATAAATTAGAAAAATAATCAGAGTATACGCAATGCACAGAGGTAAGATATTTTATGACTCTCACTATAATACAGCGATTAAGAAACCAGCTCTGCTACTGACTATTAGTGGGGTCACTTTGAGAAAGTTACTCTTTCTACTTGAAGTTCCTCGTCGTTAATAGGCATAATAATAATCTTTGTCTCATGCTGTTGTGAGAATGATTTAAATAAGTTAATGGAGGTAAAGAACCGATAACAATGGCTCACACGCAGTAATTGCTATATAAGTATTTGCTTTTGTTAATGTTATTATATTACTGTTGTTTCAAGCTCTTTCTCCATATGACAAGTGTTTTGTTTGAAATTCATTCTACCCTGTGAAAAATGTAGTACACGAAACTATTTCTCTTTCACGAGGAGCCCACCAATCACGGCGTGTCTTAAAAGCACACACAGCTGTTCACACCGATGGAGGACAACTTACCATAACCAGTAACTACACGGGCCCTGGAGTCACCCCGCATGGCTCCGAGACCTCGCTATCCTCATTTTTGGCTGTGTGACCTTGGGCAAGTCACTTCCTGGTACCTCCGTTGTTATCTAACCTCTCATTCATTGAAAGGGAATTCATATTAATTATAAATAGAAATCACTAATTACCATGCTTGGCACTTATCTTTGCCTAGGTAGCACTTCCGGCAACCTTTTCACAATTCTTTTTACCCTGGAAACTTTCTTCTCCTCTCCCTTAGAACCAATATCAACAAAACCTTATCTAACTAAACGCAAAAGCTGAAAAGATCCATTTCTGTAGAGGAAGAAAAACGGTGGGGTAATCTCTCTTTCCCTTAAGAATTAGTCTTTCCTTTTCCTAATTCACCACTAAATAGCTCTGGGCCCTCTGTGTTCATCCATTCATTCGGCAAATCCGATCGAGTATCTATGTCGTGCAGGAACTGTACCAGTTTCCAGAGAAATCCAGAGGATGAAAGAGAAAAGATACTTATTCTGATAGAAATTATATTCTAGTAAGAAAAAAAAAACCCTGCTTTGGCTCCAAATTCCACAGGTTAGATATGCAATTTAATAATTTCTCATTACAGCTGAATTCTCTTCCATCGAAGTCACGTAATGGTACTGTCCAGTTGCTACCATGAATCTTAATGCATTTCAAAGTTTTTTTCTGGTTGGCTATGGCTCGGGGGACCTGAGCAATGCTGAAGGATTATACGGGATATCAAAAACTTAAGCTCAATACGCTTTTACTATTTGCTATTCGTGCTATGCTTTATAAAGGGGAGGTTTTTAATTATCAAATTAATTTGCTCGACCAGGTAATTAAACCGGCAATTCAGTCCTTAGATGACACCATAATTAATGCAAATAAGAAATCGTCCAGCTTTCATTTCCATGTGTGCTCTAACTCTGATCTCCGCAGCTGTATTGATGCTGACTTCTGTTCAACCTCTTCTCTCCCTG